TTCGATTTTGTACCAATGTACTGACGAATATATACAACAGAAAGCAATAGGCGACAAGCGGACAGGGTAAGGTTGTCACTGCACAGCAATAAATTCATATGCATCCACTGCTGCCGTTGTTTCCTCAAGACGAATGTTTTTTTTTGTGTAAAGACGACGACAAAAACAACAACGTGCTGTTTCCACTACTTTCTGCTGTTGCACCTTCAGGCGAAGGACCCTAGTCGAGAAGAGTGGGCGACCTCGTCGGTGGAGTTCTGCGGCGGAACCCACGTGGCCAACACGAGAGAGGCGGAGGCCTTCGTCATCACTGAGGAGACAGCCGTCGCCAAGGGGGTCAGACGGGTGAGAACTCTCGGCGGCAACAAGTATGTTATACCTCGTTTCAATATCCTCAAAGAAATGAATTTGTCGACCATACCCCCCATGAAATTCTCTCCCCAAATCCCAACAATTATCAATAAAATTAGTATTTAATCGAACTGCCTCCTTTGTGTTTGGTGCGTTTCCTGGGTTTGTAAAGCAAATTTCGCATCGCGTCTCAAAACCTGAAGAGAACAAGACAGCCAACAGCCCAAAAAAAAACCAGCTATTTGCTGTTGCCGGCCTTACCAAAATTGAAGGCTCGCCGACAATATTCATTCCATGATTCGCAGGCGGTTGATATCCTCCAATCGTGCTGTAGACGAGAGCAGCCCGCAAAAAAAAGCGGCGCGTATCCATTTCTGTTATCGTAGCCCATTTTCATGTGATGTTTGCTACCGCTGCCGTCAACCATTACTGTTTTGGGTGTTTTTTCTTCGAAATACAACATCGTCGTGCTCAGATCACGGCAATAACGGGGTCTGCGGCGAAGGAGGCGGTGGCAGCGGGGGAGGTGCTGAAGCTGCGCGCGGAGGAGGTTTCTTCGCTGAAAGGTGCCGAGCTAGAGGGGGCCGTGGCAACCTTCAGGTAAGAGCACAAGCACGTCTCAACTTCTCAGCAGATGGGGCTTTGTCTCCTGTTCGAGAAGGTCCTTTTTCGCTGTTGCAGGTTGGCCGGCCAATCGAAAGACGACATTCCCGTGTTTTGTCCTCGGAAGAGAGGGATACAGAGAGAGAAGCAGCCCGGAAGCCAGGTAGATGTTCTTGTAGCTGCCTTAAACGAAAACAAGGACTTCATCACAACTCCCGAAACGCTCGTGTGAAAGAGCGGGATGGATTCTCAAGTGACAACAGACAACTTCGTGCATTTGAGTGGGGTGTTGATATCGAAATGAAGCGTTACACTGACCAGGTGTTGGACCCGGAGCACGGGGAGTGATTTTGGCCTGGTGGTCCGCACCCCAGATCAGCGGGGGTTATGCGGGAGGGAGAGTCACACCACGCGGCCCGCTGACACCTTTTTGTGGTGTATTATTTCAGTTTGCAACTCCATGTCCCCTTTTGCGTGTCGCGCTCGTGCTGCTGTAGCTATTTTTCTTCTGTTCCCGTTCCGCATCGTGAAGTGCTCCAGGTATTCAATCCTCATCTTTCACGATTTACTCGGGTTTTTTTGGCGCATGCCCCCTGTCTGTCTGCCCCCCCGCTCCGGCCTCTCGAGAACGCGCGGTAAATGTTCTATCCGCTAAGCCATGCAAAACATACTACCCCCACCCCCCCCCTTTGATGTTCTGCTTTGTCACGCACCTGGCACACAGGCGAGACGTCGACGTAGCAACCCTCTCGGCCGGGGTGAAGGGCAGGCTGCGGGCGCAGGGGGACAAGCTGCTCAAGAGAGTCGCGGCCGAGAGCAAGGCGGCTGCCGCGGCTGCCGCACAGAGCGGGGTGAGACGACGCTTCATCTTGCCGTTGTGTCTGTCGTTTTCACGCCTGGCGAACCTCTTGCGTGTGCTATCGATCCCTCTGATCTTCATCCAGAGCACGATAGTTTATCCATGTATCCCTGTCGTTGTAGGTCACTTTTCATGTGCCGGTATGTCTTTTTCTCGCGGCATCGAGTTTTTTCTCGCGATTCCTTCTCAGGGGCACGCAGGAGGCCCGGCGGTACATCAACGCTCGCGCCCGGAGCTCGGCAGGCCTCAGTGACGCGTGTGGTTGATTGTCAAAGTTGCGACAACTGGCGCTATTCGGCGGGGGGGCGTTCCGTGCAGACGAAGCCTGGCGAACCCATTCTGAAACTCATCAAAAACGACAGCTTAAACTTTTTGCCTCTTTCTTCATCTCCAATTCATTCATTCATTCTTTGATTCCACATCGCTCTGACTCTTCGTGTCATCTTGTTGTCCTACGGTACCTTCGCTTTATCTTGTACACTTTGCAGCGGGGCAAGTGAAAGGCTGCTGCTGTAGACAAGTCTTCGCGCATGCACCCGCAGCGTTGTTTGTTTGTCGTGTTGTTTCGGATTCCAATTCGCTTCTATTTGGAAATCTACTGACATCACAAGACGTCATAGAAAAGTATGATTTTCTGCTGGCAAGTTGTTGTCCGCTCGAGCTGGCTCCTATGTCAACAGCAATGTATGCGCGTCGAATTGCGCGGTGTTTTGTACGGAAGACGAGGGTAAAAACGTCCATCAAGAATTAAGACACACCGCCCTCTTCGGGCAATGCGCATGTGATCTTGCGTCACCCGCGGGAGGCTTGACACCCACGTCCCGAAGGGAGATATTGTACCTGGTATATTTTCAGTTTCAGGCGGTACGCATCAAATTCTTCGAAACCACAACTCTGATTCGACTCGACCAGGTTGATGCTGCGGTGAAGGCGGCAAAACAGGCGGTCGAGGAGGGGAAGACCTGGGTCGTCATGGATGTAAGTTTTTGTTGTCGTCGTTGCTTTTTTTTTTTCTTTTTTTCGTTGAGGTTGTCGTTGTTGTTGTCAAAGTGGAGGTGGGGAGAGGAAGAGAAGGAGCAAGCATCTCCATGTGGTCGATCTGTGACGAGGCTCGTCTCCGGGGAGCTCCCTTTTTTTGTTGTTGTTGCCCACCAAATCGACCGGATCGTTTGTGTGTGCATTGTATTGTCTTCGCCACATGTTATGGTTTCGTGTGCTCCCCCCACCCTGATTTTTGTTGTAAGCACTGCACGAACCTGTAGACCAACCTACTGGGCCCCCACCAATGGCGATTTCCGAGGAAATGGCGAGTGCTTTCATGCCTGCGGCGAGTCCGCCCCCCCGCTCCGCCCGCAAGATGAGAAGATGAGCCTGTGGTCCATCCTTGTGAAACGTAGGTCCATCCTTGTGGGCCGGCGAAAACCTGAAATATCGCTCCGTCCCGGCATTGCAGGCATGCGAGATCGATGGTCTAACCGCTACGGCATGATTTTACATGAGCACCCCCCCTCCCC